AAATAAGAAAGGACTCAGATTCGATCATTGGTGCACTCTGATAGTGATAGAGAACTATGTAGTTTCCCTACACTAATATAACACTTGTAGTACAAGTCTCATATATATACGTGATGATGTTGATATACTTACATGATTTTATTTATAGTTAAGGCACATCAAAGAATATACAAATCTTTCATTACAGAAATGACTACATAGTTACAGAAAGTATGCCGAGTTCTTTTAAAGTAGCATATATTTAAAAGAACTTAAAAATGGTACCACATCGAGTAAGGCATAACAAAATATATTCAACCATTTGAGGATTCATGCTGTATTTACTTCTATTCAAGCAATTTTCACAACTCAAATGTGGTGAATTGAAAGCGAGACAAATGGTGTTTGGATTCATTAAATTAGGGATATGCACGGGTCGGGGCAGTTCAGATTAAGGTTATCCCAATCCCAATCTGATCAGTAATAAGACTAGTAACGGTTTATAAAAGAAAATTATACTCTGGGATCGGCACACCATGCACATGGTGTGCCGACCCCAATACGACACCGTTTCTTTAATTAAAAACAACGTAGTCAATATTCTTCTCCTTTGATCAGCTTTTATTCTTATCTGATTCATCACTACATTTTTTTCTCCAGCACCGTTCTCACGCACTATTTCTACCCCCAGTTTTTTTATTCTTCGCACTACACCATGCACATGTTGACATCGAGTAGCCATGCTTTAAGTAACTTTCCCTTCCCCGTTTCCCATTTTCCCATTCGTTTTTCTAGTTGCCAAGCTTTCCAGTTCGTATACCATACATCCGGATGTACGGTTTGCACCGTACATCCGGGGGCAATTTTGTAATTTTGATGAAAATCGTGATTTGTCAGGAATGAGCATTAATGCAAGTTTGGTGAGCATCATGCCTATTCTTTTGAGTAATAGGAGCCTAAAAATGAGTATCGTGAAATCTGTTTCAAATCTTCTAATGTAATTTTTTTTTGTTTAAAAAAGAATTCTGAAATTATGTCTATAATCGATTTCAATTAAAAACAATATGCGAATTTAATGTAGTATAATAATTTTAAAATATGCATTATTGATATGACATTTTAAAATGAGCATACCATTACTACCAAATGAGCATACATAACTTACGAAATGAGTATCAAAAAATTTAAAAATGCATTTTTGGACGTTATACTCATTTGAATTTAACATAAAACTCATTTTTAATGTGAATATAATGTAGTATAATATGTTTGAAAGATGCATTAATATGTCATTTTAAAATGAGTATTACACTAATTTCAAGAGTTTTTTCCCAAAGAAGGGTAGTTTCAATCTTATTTCTTAATTGAGGGTACTTTTAAACTTATTTCCCAAATGAGGGTAGTTTTTTTCCATGTCATCCAATTTCCGCCACATCACCCACTCCACATCATTCACCATGCATCATTTGTCATTCCACGTCATCAGCCATATGGATATTCTTTTAAAATGTAAAAATATCCGAAGCCCCCAGGAATTGAACTCACGACCAAAATGATGCACTTGCATCTTGCAACCCACTAGACTACATTGACTTGTTGGTGCAATCACACCTTTATAAACATTTAACATCTATATATTTTTAATAAAACGTATTTTGATATATGCAATTCAAAAACTTTAAAATTACTCTACATTAATTAAATAAAATGAGAAACAAATAAATGAGAATAGATGGACTAATTCATCCCAAATTTAATAAAAAATCTTATATTGCTAATGCAAATTTACATGTTTTTGCATTAGCAATATAAGATTTTTTGTTAAATTTGGGATGAATTTGTCCATCTGTTCTCATTTATTTGTTTCTTATTTTATTTTATTAATGTAGAGTAATTTTAAATTTTTTGAATTGCATATATCAAAATACGTTGTATTAAAAATATAGAGATCTTGTCAAAAAAAATATAGATATGTTAAATGTTTGTAAAGGTGTGACTGTACCAACAAGTCAATGTAGTCTAGTGGGTTGCAAGATTCAAGTGCATCATTTTGGTCGTGAGTTCAAATCCTGGGAGCTTCGGATTTTTTTTATATTTTAAAAGCATATCCATATGGCTGATGATGTGGAATGACGGATGACGTTGAATGACGTGGAGTGGGTGATGTGGCGGAAATTGGATGACATGGAAAAAACTACCATTATTTGGGAAATAAGTTTAAAACTACCCTCAATTGGGAAATAAGATTGAAGACTACCCCTTTGAAAAAAAACTCCCAATTTCAAATGAGCACACATAAATTACGAAATGAGCACCGAAATATTTTGAACTCCTTCATCCAACTCCCAGGAGCGACACCTCCTTCACCAACCCTAGGAATTCAGCAAACGAGCACAAAAGTCATCAGCGCCTCCTCCATCGATTCCCAAGACATCAGCGAGCGCCGAGCAACCTTCTCCATCCCTAATCGGCTAATATTTACCCTAATCTTTACCAGCCCGTGATTTTAAATAAACTCAGGACCGTACATCCGGGTGTACGGTATAATTTGCCCAAGCTTTCTGATATGATTCTCTTTCCTCTTTTTTTACTTCTTTTCTTTTTTCAATTATCTTCATCTCCAATATTAAAATATTAAAATATGACTACAATTTCTTTTTTCTATAATATTTTTGTGTGAAATAATTTATTATCTCTTTTATATGTTTTTAGTATTTTTGAAAACATTGAGTTTGTTTATTTCTATTTACATTTAATAAAACAGGTGATTACATTTTCATGCGTGTGATTTACATTTTGATATGTGCGATTTACATTCATTCATGATTCCTGAAGTTATATTTGATACTACATGAAGTTACATCTTCTTATGCGCGAGTTACATGTAATTATGCGTGAATTATATCTAATTATTTGTGATTTTCTACTTATCTTTATCTTTAAATAATTAAATTATAATTGAATTGACTTTTTTCTTTACCATTTTACTACAAAATTTTACCAATCCACATAAAACAAATATATTATATTTCATAATCATACACTATTTTTTACGATGTGTACTTTGTTTACATTAATAAACTTTTTTTGTATTTTTTTTTATATTCACACACTTTTTTTATAATATATTTCTTATCTCTTCTTGTTTTTGTTTTTTAAAGACATTAAATTTGTTTATTTCGATTTAAATTTGAAAAAACATGAGATTACATTTTTCGTATGTGTGAGTTATGTATGTTTATAGACAATTTCCGTAGTTACATTTGATATTATATGGAGTTACATCTTCTTAAGCACGAGTTACATTTTCTTGTGCGTGAGTTACATCTTTCAACGCGTGAGTCACATTTGAGTTTGCCTCAACAAATTACATTTTGCCTACACCTAAGCTAGATTTTCCATGAACGCGAATTATATTTTCCATAACATGAATTATATCACAACACAAAGCCTACTATTGAAACAAAACAATCATTGTTTTGCAAAAAAATGCAAAAAGTGATTTTTTTAAAAAACAATTTTATGACCTTAATATTAAAAGAAAAATATATTCACTACTTAAGTTAACCCCTGCTATTGGAACAAAAAAAATCACTTTTCTACAAAAACAAAATGATTTTTTTTGGCAAAACAATGTTTTTTTTGGCAAAAGGAAAAACATTTTTTGCGACCTTAATATTAAAAACAAAACATACTAACTATTTATGTAAAGTATTTGAGCAATCAGACTCCGTGTTTTCATTAAAACTAATGTTTATTTCTCATCATCTGTATTAGACAAGTTACATTTTAACTTGTCTGTAGTTACATTCCTTATCAACGTGAGTTACATTAATCTACACGCGAGTTACACCATGCTCCTACTGGGACGCGCGTGAACAGTAACACACATTTTTTCTGTGGGAGCAGCATGCTCACCATGAGCCGCTCCCACGATATACCAACTGGTTCAGAACGGTATGGGACAAACCTTTATTTTAATCTTATCCCATTTAAATCGGGATTGGGACGATACAAAGTAGTTCAGGATGTCCCAAACTAACAAAAAATAATTGAGCGAAAAAACACCATTTGTTCATTTATAATTAAAATATGGAGTATTAGTATTTCTATGGTGTCATGCGTCAAAGAATTAAAATTTTAAAAGTCAAAAAGACGTTCGCAACAAGCTACATAAATACTCTTTGCAACACTTTTACACGTATCTGTGAGAACTTTTTTTGGCCGACAATGTGTACGGTATTTAAAATAGTAAAATGTATACACATGTCTGTGTAGGCTATTGGTGTAAATACTATTTTGGTGTACACACTTTTACACATGTCTGTGTAGACTTTTTTCTATCTCATTTTATTTGAGGCAGACAAAAAAACCTATACAAACATATGTAAAAGTGCATGCATCAAAATAGTATCTATAAAAAGTATTTTTGATAGAAGAATGTGGGTAGAAGAAAATTTCTCAACAACCTATCTGTGGTCCCTACATGACTACATACTACCTCGTCCTTTAAAATTTTGTCAAAGTTAACCGACACGAAGAATAATAAAGTAAAAACTGTGTGGTTAAGATTTGTGCAGAAGAGAGAAATAACAGGAACCACAAAATAATTTATTAAAAAAGAAAATGACAAAATTTTAAAAGATGAAGGGATAAAAGGATAACCTTTGGGGTGTGCCTTTTCACATCCCATGCCCGCCCTCCGTGGTAAAAAAGGAAAACAAGTGCTAAAACGCGCACATATGCTCTCTCTCTCTCTCTCTCTCTCTCTCTCTCTCTCTCTCTCTCTCTCTCTCTCTCTCTCTCTCTCCCTGAAGAGACCCCGTAGCTTAGCTTGGAGAGCCATTATCATAAGCCCATAATTCTCCCTGCCTCATATCTATACATACATACATGTAGACGTAGATGTAGTACCCCCCCCCCCCCCCCCCCCCCCCTCTCTACAGCCATACATACTTTTCACTCTCTTTCTCTTTCTTCCTTTATTAGACCTTTCTCTCGTCCTCTCTGTATGTATATGCCTGACCTGTACCTTACCATACATGTATTCTCTAACTCTTTATAGCCTCTGCTATGTATCGGTAGGTATATCTGTCTGTCTATCAACGCGTGGCTTCCTCTAAGCCTCTGATCTCACTCTCGCACCGGCCAGTTCCAGGTAATAAGCTATGGAACCCCCCTAATGGTCGCTGCCCACTTGTCTCAGTTTCAATTAAGTTGATGACCATTTTGTAGAAGCAAAAATAGTTTCTTTGGTGTATGAGCATCGGCGTAGGATGACAGTGAGCATGCGTGTTCTTTAGTTTTAGATCCGCGATGGGCACTCCTCTTTGGTTGTTGTTGATATTAAAGTTTCCGTTTCGGGTTTAGGAGGATTTGGGGTTCGTTCGGAGAGTTTAGGGTTTTGTTTGTATTCCGGAATTCTTCGCCCAATTCCCTCTTGTATGTTATTAGGATATAGTGAAAATCTCATCATTTTCATTTTAAAATGGCGCAAATTCAGGCGGACATGGCCACTTTTCCGAGACATTGCCAGTGTTTATAGTGCTAGGCTGGATTGTCTTCTCTCTCATCTGCTATATTATTTAAGTTCATGGTTCTCTTAGTTCACTCGATGCCTATCAACAAATTATTATTATTATTATTATTATTATTATTATTATTTTCACGGATTATTATTTTTATTATATTATTATTATTATTATTATTATTATTATTATTATTATTATTATTATTACCTACAAAAAGGTTGTGGATAATACATGCCGAAGTCCTACATTGGTTGTTATGGGTGTATTATTTATTATTATTAAAGATTACTCCGTATTATTTTCGTAAAGTCCTTTTTTCAATCATTGTTGACCGTGTATCCTCTCAAAATTCTGGTCGCTCATTCCCTTTGGATCCCTACTTTTCTGGAGTGGTTATAAGAGAGCATTTGAGTCGGCATATCTTGCCCCAACTAAAGTGGGAGTAAAGCTGATTTGACTTGAGCTGTAACTTAATTTGTTTACTGAGTTGCGTGGTGTGAATTACATTTTCTCCATATGAGATAAATCTTAGCCCCCATAAAAGTGAGAAATATCATTTTCTTCTTCTTAGTCTGATTGAAACTTATTTGCTCAAAAATCATGAGGCCTCAACTTTTATTACATGCTAAGTTTAGAAAGACATTGTAGCTATTCACTTCAATACTAATGCTGGTATTTATTGTCTTAAATCAGATCCAGCAAACTCTTGTTCTGCCAGTGTGCGACGGGGTTATTTAAGCTATATAGACACAATCAGTGGGTTGGTGTTAAATGCCTAACTGTCTCACTGAAGTTCATTGATATCATAGATGTTCGCATGAAGGTGTAAATGATTATCAGAGCTTCTAATCTGCAAAGTAGCTCTCTGCTGTACAGGAGAGAACAAATTCTACCCCACCGGATTTGCTTTCTCTGAATCTCTCTAAAGCAAATGTTTCCACTCTCCCCGGCTAAGCCCTATAATGAATTATCATAGCAGTCGTCTATGATAATTCTGCCAATGTAACCATACCTGCTATTAGTGGTGCACACTTTTCACACTTGAGTAGTCAACTACGGTCAATAAGGCTGACTTTTCTCCCTTCGCATAGTTTTTTCAATTTTAATAATGGAACCTGAGACATTGAATGCTGCTCATCAGACAAGCACTTTCCAGAGATTTCTTTCTGCAGTTGTACCAGTTCTCTTTATTACAATTGGCTATGTGGACCCCGGAAAGTGGGCTGCTGTTGTGGAGGGAGGAGGTCGCTTCGGGTTCCATTTGACGCTCTTCTTACTACTGTTTAATTTGGTTGCTATCCTATGCCAATACTTGTCTGCTCGTGTAGCAGTGGTTACTGGTAGAAATCTAGCCCAGGTAGTGATTTCTGTTTGCTGGATTTACTCATTATTATTATCACATAGATATCATGTATGCAGTCATTGTAGTCAAGTGTCAGACAGTATTTATGATTGATCTTTCTATCTTTGCTGATCAAAATCATAATGTTCTTAGTCTTCCACTGCAATATTGTATTTCCTGTTTATATATCAAATGGGTTCTTTCACACATTCTTCAGTTTTAGAATAAACGTTTCACTATCAGTCATGATGGCATGAAAGACATCCTAAGATTTTTCTGACACTACATGATGAAATCCATAGCCTAGTAGTTCTTCTAAGCTAATATGTTAGAACTTAATGAGCGGGCCATGATGTGGCAAGACCATTATGGGACGTAATGTTAGTTGAGTAATTTAAATCATAGATTACCATTTTAACCACCAAAGTATTATTGTATGAGGGAAGTCATGACTAAAATTTTCCAGTGATTTATCTTTTTTCACATCCTGTCTTCTTGACTTCGCTAAATAAATATATAACCTAATAACCACAATATAGTGCTTCTTTTTAAAATCTTTACTTCTCAAGTGAGCCAAGCTGTAACTCCTTTGTATTTGATGTTACAGATTTGCAGCGAGGAGTATGACAAAGTGACTTGCATCTTTCTTGGATTTCAAGCTGAAATATCTATTATAGCCTTGGACCTTTCAATGGTAGCTCATCTTGTCATGATTTTCTGTTGTTTATTATATATGATTGCCTTACTTCTTTTGCTTAATTTTGGTTATTCTTGTGGTGGCAATTTCTTGATTTTGGCAGGTTTTGGCAACTGCACATGGACTAAATGTCATATTTGGAATCGATTTATTTAGCTGCGTCTTTCTGACAGCAACCAATGCTGTTTTTTTCCCTCTTTTTTCTACACTCTTGGTAAGGTTTGCTCTGTAGGATTGATAATTGTTTCTCGCTATTGATTGAAACTATTGATATATCTTGCACTGGAAATTTCAGGATATTAGTCTCGCAAAGTTCCTATGCATTGGCTGGATGTGCTTTATACTTCTTCTGTATGTTCTTGGGGTGCTCATAAGTCAACCTGAAAATCCTTTCACCGTTGGTGAAATGCTGACTAAACTAAATGGAGAGAGTTCATTTGCATTGATGAGTTTACTTGGAGCAAGTATTATGCCCCACAATTTTTATCTCCACTCTTCTATTATTCAGGTTCTCTCCCTTTCATGCATGGCGCAAGCATATGAAAATTATAATTTATAAACCCTCCATCCCAAAAAAGAGTTACGTTCGAGTTAGGTACAACTTTTTTTGTGCAAGTTTTTAGAACCACTTGCTGCATGGGCTTTACAATTTTTTTTAAATGAATGTTGACTTTTATAGCTAGCTTTTGAACCAAAACCTTTTTTGGTGGAGGAGATGATTTTTTACTCCTATTCACTGTTATGTTTGCACATGCTTTTGTTATTCTTGGTTCGTCACAAGATTCAAGGTAGTTTCCTTTTTGCAGCAAGAACAAACATCAAAAAGAATTTCCAGGGGAGCACTATGCCAAGACCATTTTTTTGCCATTGTCAGCATTTTCAGTGGCATTTTCTTAGTCAATTATATGCTTCTAAACTTGGCAGCTAGCGCATTCTACAATACTGGTCTCGTTCTGCTCACATTCCATGAAGCACTGTCATTGCTCGATCAGGTTAAGTTTGGCAACCATGGATCCTATACTTTTACATACTCAGGTTCTGTTTGGATTGAAGGGTTTCGGAGGGGTTTAGAGGGGATGGTTCTTGATACATCTGAGATTTTACAAGACTTGAAAGGTTAACCGTTGACCTAATATGTGATCGTATAAAATTTAAGTCACATTTTTTTCTTATAGAAACATTCTATTCATCAATAGATAGATGCTACAAAGTCTTGTACCCCGGTGCCCTCCAAAACCTTCTATCCAAAAAGACCCTTAAACGCATTGTATGCTTGACAAAAACAATTACTGAGTGTGCTTTTCTCAAACACAGGTTTTTGGAAGTTCAATAACACCATTTGTCATGATGCTAGTTATGCTTTTCTCAAACCAAAGCAATGCATTAACATGGGATATTGGAAGACAAGTTGTAGTGGAAGGTTTGTTTGGACTGGAATTACCAGGCTGGCTGCATCATGCCACAGTTCGAGTTATTGCTATTGTCCCAGCTTTGTACTGTGTTTGGAATTCTGGAGCTGAAGGACTTTATCAGCTGCTGATATATACACAGGTTGTAGTTGCTCTTGCTCTTCCATCTTCAGTTATCCCACTTTTTAGAGTTGCCTCATCCAGATCAATAATGGGCTTCCACAAGATCTCTCACATGCTGGAGATATTAGCACTTGGCACATTTTTTTTTGTACTTGGACTCAAAATCATATTCGTCACAGAGATGATATTTGGAAACAGTGATTGGGTTCACAATCTGAAGTGGAACATTGGGAGTAGCATATCGGTTCCATATGTTATCCTTATCATTGCTGCATTTGGTTCCCTCTGTTTGATGCTTTGGTTAGCAGCTACTCCACTGAAATCTGCTAGCTCTAGATTCGGTACTCAAGCATTATTGCAATGGGACATTCATCCCCACATGCATGAATCATCTCTTTTGGGGGTTGAACCTGATGATCCCAATGTATCTATATCTAATACTTCAGTGATTCCTTCACATTTTCAGGAACCTGTGTTAGAATTTGAGGAACCCTTCAGAAGTAGTCATTTGGATATATCAAATCCAAAACTTCTTGATTCAAACCTTCCTGAATCTTTATTGAAATTCGAAAGAAGCTCTCAGCTGACAACCATTGACGAGATAACATATGCAAGAGATGATGTTGATTTAATAAAAAATGCTCCGGATAGAGTTTCAATTAGTGAACCTCCATCACTTCCTGCTGAACTGTTGGAAGTTGTAGAAGAGACAAAGCAGATTGGAGCTTATATTCAGGATGATGACAAGGATGATGCGATGGAAATGTGGGAGCCTGAAGAAGCAACAACAAAAGAGATGCCTCTAAATGATAATCAATCTTTGACTTTTGACAGCCCAGGATCATTGAAGAATGCCAGTGAGAAATATGATGATTTAGGGAGTGGAACTGGAAGTTTATCCAGGTTAGCAGGACTTGGTCGTGCAGCAAGGCGGCAGTTAACAACGGTTCTTGATGAGTTTTGGGGGCAGCTTTTCGATTTTCATGGGCAGGTCATACCGGAAGCAAAATCAAATAAAATGGATGTGTTGTTGGGGGCTGCTGATTCAAAGATGGATCCAAAACCTCCTTCTGGATCACTGAAACTGGAGAGCATTCGTAAGGACATCAATACTGCAATTCTTTCTGACTCGCTGATTGGTTCAGACATATATTCTCCCAAACAAATGGGTCGGGAGTTTGCCTATAGTGCTAAGGAACCGTCTTCTTTGCGGCTCAGTCACATGAAAATGTTAGATGCCTACAGCGCACAAAGCTCAATCCATAGTAATAATAATAACAATTGTCCTGAGACTAGTGAGAGGCGATATTCTAGTATGCGCATTCCAGCTTCATCTTCAAACTTTGATCAACAGCCTGCCACAGTTCATGGATATGACATGTCATCATACCTTAACCAAATCACCAAAGAAAGGTATGCCGAGTATTTGAACAGTCAACAAAAGGAGTCTTCACCAATGCCAAAGTCAAACTATGTGGAGCAATATGCTTCTGGTGGTGTTTACAGGCAAAAACCGCAGAACATCTCGAGCACTAGAGGACCACCTGGCTTCACAAATGTCTCTATGTCCAGAAATAAATCATTGGCGCAACCTGGGAAATTTTTAAATGATCTCTACCCTACGACTGGAAATGGTGGTTCAGCTAGTACAAAGAAATATTACAGCTTGCCAGACATATCAGGGCTGTATATGCCTAATCGTAACCCTTCACCGTCACATAGGTTGGATAGCTCAGTGGGGGGATATGCACAGTCATTATATGGCCAAACCTACTCTCGCCCTCCAGGATTCACTCAACTCTCTCCTTCCAAAGTGTGCAGAGATGCTTTTTCATTGCAATTCAGTTCAAACCCTGTCAACGGTGGTGGGTCCCTGTGGTATACACAACCCTTTGAGCAATTTGGTGTGGATAAGAGTGGTGGTGGTTCGGGAGGTATGCAGAACTCTTCATCTACAAAAGAAACCACATCAATATTGAACTTGGAGGCAAAGCTACTTCAGGCCTTCAGGAGTTGTATACTGAAGCTTTTGAAGCTTGAAGGATCTGATTGGCTGTTTAAGCAAGATGATGGGGCCGATGAAGATCTCATATCTTTTGTTGCTGCAAGGGAAAGGTTTTTGTACGAGGCTGAAACTAGGGAGGCAGTGGTGAGCAGGCTTCCTAATGGCGGTGGTGGTGGTGGTGGTGGTGGTGGGGAATCACAACCTAACAACACTAAACATAGCTCAGCAGATTCTGCTAAGTTCTTGGTGATGTCAGTTCCTCATTGTGGAGAAGGCTGTGTTTGGAGAGCGGATTTGATTGTATGCTTTGGGATTTGGTGCATTCACAGGGTTCTTGAGCTCTCACTCATGGAAAGCCGACCAGAACTTTGGGGTAAATACACCTATGTTCTCAACCGTCTTCAGGTAAAATTTCCTAAAATGCTGTGGTTGTGTGGTAAACTATGTAGCACGGAAAGTCTCGGGAAAGAGAACGTTTCCCGTTTCGGAAACACTCCAAATAAGCATTTTTTGAGCAAAAGTTGACGTTTTCCGTTTCTCGATTCCTCATGATTTTCGCATTTCCGTGCAACATGTGGTAAATTGTTTTTCTGAATTATTAGCGAGATTAAATACCAAACACTAACTTTTCCCACTTTGCTGGCTGGATCACCATTAGTGAGAATAGGTCGTACAGCAGTTAATGAAAGTGACACTTCCAATCTTGACTTCTAGATATTTTGATGTTCCTTATTTGAATAGTATTACCTCTATCCCATTGGACATTTCCACAGAGTTGCGCAGAGGAGAGAGAAATAAGCAGAACTACAAATTATTTACTTTTAAAATAAAATGACCGAGTTTTTTGGGAGAAATAAAAAAAGAAAGTTAGCAAAGTCCAATGGGATGGAGGGAATATATATTTCAAATCAATCTTATTTATTTAATCCAGCAGATACACTCATTTTCAGTTACTACTTCAGCAAATTCAGTCACTTGAGCCATTTTAGGCCTTGCCAAATTATCTCTGTTCTGTGGGTCTCTACTTATATATAACTGTAGTATAATACTAATGATTGAAACTACAGGGCATAATTGATTTGGCATTCTTCAAGCCCCGTTCACCTATGAGTCCTTGCTTTTGCCTTCAACTCCCTGTTGGCCATCAACAGCAGCCCACCATGCCAATTTCAAATGGGGGTTTGCTCCTACCTGCTAAACAGAGCCGTGGAAAATGCACAACGGCGCCAATGCTCTTAGACTTGATAAAAGATATTGAGATATCGATTTCCAGTCGAAAGGGTAGAACAGGTACTGCAGCTGGTGATGTGGCTTTTCCTAAAGGAAAAGAGAATCTGGCTTCGGTGCTTAAACGCTATAAGCGTAGGTTATCAAACAAGGCAGTATTGGCTTCTCAAGACGGGGCCCGCAAAATGCCATTGTAGCACCGTTTTCGCACATTTCTCAGAGCAGCAGCGAGAATATAAGTGTACCAATGCTCTCCTATTTATTGTTTTCAGTTCCACAATTTCAGGCTCCGCTTGGCTCATTTGCTATGTAATCCAAGTTTCATTTGTATGGTGACAACTCTTCTTTTTGTACGGAATTCTTGTATTCTTGTATGCACATGCATACAGACCCCCGCATCACACACACAAACACCACCGAAAAAGGAAAAAGAAAATTAGTTTTGCCGAGAAAGGGGAGGAATACTGATGTTCATATTGATGGCTTCTGCTAATGCTAAGTCATGCTTACTGAGCTATCTATCTATTACAGTAACATTGTAGAAGGTTGATTGTTGACCAGAGTTACATATATTCTCCTAACTGCTCTATACCCTTATATGTTCTTCACTTCTTCAAATACGTTGCTTCCATTTTCGGTTCCTGACCAAAGAAGAATGTGTGAAATCATACAGCCATCTCTGCTCATTCGAGCAAGGTATGTTTTAATTGATTTACTCGCTTGGCCATACACTACCCAATTTTGTTTTCAACATTTTATTGGTCTCAATTTGGTCATTTACTATGAAATTTGCAATCGCTTTAGTCCTTGCAAATGTTTGGTTCTAATAAAGAAGGGCATTTTTTGGGGTTCATTTAATCTAGACACAATTTCTGACTCATTGTGGTCCTCTGAAATGTGGGCACAATTTAGCCATCTTGTACCAGATAGGACATATGAGGACCAGCATAGTTAAATTTCACAATGAATGGGCCAAATGAAGTTAAATTATAATGTTGTATGATGGATGGACTTTATAATGTATTTAGACGTATTTAGGGTTGGACTCGGGCCGGGTTGGGCCCGGGCCGGCGGTTCTATATAGCTGGACGCCTGGACCCGGGACCGGCCCGGGTAGCCACCGGGTCCGGTCCGGGCCTCGGGTTTGGTTAATTTTTTTTTTTTTTGCTTAGCTACCCATCCCTGACCCCCCCCCCTCACCCCACCCCCAAACCCCTCCTAAACATCAAGCCCAACCCGGTGGAGCCCAAACAAATGAAAAAAACAAAAAAAATAAAATAAATTTGGCTCGAACCGGGCCCGGGCCTTGTTATGGGTGACCTGAGCCCGGACCGGAAACCCACCGGGTCGGGCCTACCCGGACCGGTCACTGACCGGGCCACCGGTTCGGGCCGGGCCGGAACAGTACCGGTCCCGAGCCGGTTCCGGGTCGGGCCACCCGGCCCGAGTCCAACCCTAGATGTATTAGGATTTTATCGATCTAATAAAAGATTGACTTATGATTCGATTTTTTATATCTTTTAAGTCATCTTTAGATTCAAAGAGATCAAGCGGGGTATGTCTCCTTTGTGTGTGTGTGTGTGTGGGGGGGGGGGGGGGGGGGGGGTGTCATGTTAATATGGTGCATGTCGTGTGCTGGATCACCATCTAGGGGTGGACTCGGGCCTATTGATGGACTCGGGCCCGGTCGGGCCGCCGGATTGTATGACATGGGCCCGGGACCGACCCGAGGGTTGGACGGGTCCGGTTCGGGCCGGGCCACCCGCCCGGGTCACGGGTCGGGTCCGGTTCTGGCCGGGCCGGTTAATTTTTTTTTATAATTTATATTTTATAGTTAGTTTTATACGAGTATTAAAAACAAACTTCAATTGCATTTATTTGAAATGAAATAGGAACTACATTTGAAAATTAAAACAAACTTTAAGAGATAAACATTTTGAAAATTGTAATCAATCGGAACTTCCCGCACCTCCCGATCCTTTGGCTTTGTCACATGACTTCATATGCTTGATTGCCATCCCGAATCCGCCTGAAACCCCCATGCTACATTTTTTCTCGCACCATTTGCAAATTGCGTACCACATCCCGGTCTTCGGGTCCTTCTGCTTATCAAAATTATACCGTATAATGACATCTTGATTTTCCATCTTAACTTCTTAAATATAAACTATAAAGTAGATATATAAATAATAAATATAATATATTGGAGAATAAGAGAATTAGAGAGTAGAGAGTTAAGAATAGGATTTAGGAAGAATTGGAGAAGAGATATGAAAAAATGTTTAAGATTAGGAGTATTTATAGGTTTTTTTTACCCCCCACCCCCACCACCACCCCCCACCACCCAACCCCCTGGACCCCCCCTTTACCCCACCCAACGGCTATATAGCCGTTTGGGTTGTCCCCAGCCCCACCCCCAACGGCTAGTAGCCCAAGAACCAATTTTTTTTTTTTAAAATCTTAAGACCGGACCCGGGCCCGACCCGGCCGGGCCGGGTCACATTAATCCAGCACCGAGCCCGCCCCGCCCATTCCCACCGGTTCGGGTCCATACCCGGTCCCGGACCGCCCGACCGGGCCGGTCCCGGGCCCGCACAGTACTGGGCCGGGCCGGGTGGTCCGAACCGAATCCACCCCTACTCGGGCCGGGCCAACCGACCCGGAACCGGACCGGCCCGCTACTGTGCGGGCCTGACCCGGCCCGCTACTGTGCGGGCCTGACCCGGCCCGCTACTGTGCGGGCCTGACCCAGCCCAGTGAACCTGTTCCGGGCCCGGTTCGGGCCAATCGGCCCAGTGGGATGGCGGTTCGGGCTCGGGCCCTTCAAAAGGTGAACCGGCCCGGCCGGTTCGTTCCTGGGCCGGGCCATTTTTTTTTTGATTTTTTTTTTAAGTTTTTGGGTTGGGCTGGGTATTTTGGGCCATTTGAGGTGGTTAGGGTTGGTTTGGGGGTGAGGGGGAGGGTTGGGGGTTAACTAGGAAAAGCCAAAAAAAAAAAAATTGAACTGAGGCCCGGCCCGGCCCGGACCCGGGGGCTACTCGGGCCGGTTCCGGGCCTCCCCTTCTTGAACCGAGGCCTGGCCGGGCCCAGGCCCGAACCGGGCCTGAACCGGAACCGGTCCATGCCTATCACCATCTATCCTCTTGGTGTTGATAGGTAGGCTCAGTGGCTCACTACTTATGAGTTATGGATGGATTTTATTTGTAAATATGTGCACTTGTGTAGTATGGTAATATGGTCCCAAGGAGAGGGGGACTTGTGACTCCATTTTGTACTAGTCTTTTACTTGTGCTTTGTACTGGATTGAACAATGATTATAAAATTATTCAAAATTGTTAGTATGAGCTATATTTTATTTATTAAGGTCGATTGTTTTTTGAAATCACATGGTAAAAATTATAGCACACTTTAGAAAGGAGTAAAGGGTCAGTTTGGTCCTTGAAATTGCATAAAAGGGGTCAAATAAGTCCTTATATAGAAGATTCTGTCTGAACGTGCCATTTGAGGCGGTTCCCGGTGGAATTTTTTGATGAAATTTTTTAGCATCTTGTTCATTAAGTCTAGTTCACTTATATCAAATTTCAGCTAAAAATTCAATCGGGAATGCATTCAAATGAATCTATCTCAATATAATAACAAAAGGTTTCTTGGGGAAGAAGTTCCGGCGAAAATGGATGGCTTAATTCTTACCGTGAGTTTATTCTTCGGTATAGCTTAGCATGGATTTTGGAATATTGTGCATTTATTCTTGGCAGTAAATTGAAGATGTCAATTTATAGATTCTCGGAGCATTACATTATTTAATTTTCATGGCTGGCGTTTTTTGAATTTACTTGGGGTATGAATAAAAAAAGTTGTGATTAAATAAATACTCAATAACATCCTATCTCATCATGTAATAAATGAATGTTTGGATGACGTTTTGTTTCTAATCAAAGAGAATTAAAAGAAACAAGTATGTAATTATTAAGGTTCTCGTTTTGCTTCTCATTTTCCTATATAAATATAATTGTTCATTGTAAGAAGGTAATCCCACCAAAATTCTGCAAAAGGCATAGATTCAAAGTAATATGTTCTGGTGATTGACACGTTGAATATGATCATTAGAAGCAGCTCAGAAGGTTCCTGAGAGCATTCATAACAGAATCTTCTGTAGCCACAGATCGATGTAACTCTCTGGCTTCTAATTCCTTTCTCATATTTTCTTTTATGTTTATTTTCCTAACGAGTTTGTTGCTGTATATAGGGAAATAAATCACCTGCCATGTAATGAATAATGATCAACCAAGTGTATGAAAAGAAACTCCATAAAGGTCTTGAGAAATGTTTCGTAGAGAAATGTACTCCAAGAATAACCCACTTTAATTTTACAAGAAAATTGTTTAGTGTGCATATAATTAGGGGTGTTTTCGAAAGTGTTTCTGCTCCTCCAAACAACACTTGGAGGCAGAATCATTTAATTGAGTGTTTGGGTACATTTTTAAAAACACTTGAGATTTTTTTTTTTTTTTTTTACTTCAGGGGATGAGCGGAGTTGGGCTGAACCTGAGATCTCCCACTTGCCACGGTAACCTCACAATCAGCTGAGCTGGAATGCTTGATTAAAGATGTCGAGAAGTTCCCATAAAATAGTTATCAATTTTTAGCTACCAATCAATTACAGTTATCAAATAATATACGTATGTAGTAATAGATTTTATTGTATAGCATCCATAGCCCGAATGATTTTCTTTTGTAAAAGACATTTTCTAAAAATCAGTTATTTTACCAACCAGTTTTTCATTACAATAGTCATCTCTGAAGAAATTTAAGTACAACTCATTCTAGAAATCAGTTTCTAGCGAGCTAGCAAAAGACCAATAATTTTTTTTGAAACTAATAATATAATCCTTTAAGTTTTTAAACACGCCAACTGATTATAAATAAAATATAATGATATAATATTCCATTATTGATATATTACGTATAACCAATACTTATGATTTTTTTGGTAAGTACTTATGGGTTGTGAGTACCGATATCTGCCATTGACATATATATAAGATAACAAAAACATAAGCATAAAAAACTTAAAAAAATCAAATTCAAAGAAAGCCATCGCATAGTAAAATGTTCACTGGAATTAATGGCAGGCATGAATTGTATTCTGTAAAAAATTGTAATAATTCGCTGTATAACTCTTTACATGTTTCACTAAAACGTTGCGTTTAGATTCAATTGTATTCTACCTGTAAAAATTATAATAATTAAGAAGCATAAAATTTTACCTTCTAATTTCGGACACTCCAAATCGCAATGTAAATCCTTTTTTAACACTGGAGCAGAAAGTCCAGGTTTTATGCAAAGGAAGTATTAGAGATGAACGATAAAATTAAAGTCTTTTAATGGGTACTACAAATGGGTGGAGAAAAACATGGAAAAACAAGTTAAGAATGAAGAGATGATAGAAGGTAGGGTTTGATGTGAACAGCATTTTTTATCATTATTATTCCAAAAATAATGGGCTCTAGGTCTGACTCGGTTCCATGTTGTGCTTACTTAAAGCATTTCTTTAGAAAAGTGGTAATGAGCTGAACAG